GTTTTAATTTTCTTGCACTAGACGAGTGCGGGGGATACCCCCTCATAAATTGTCATTGGCCACGACCAAACCGCGTTCCTGCTTCTTCGGCTTTTTGAGGCTGTGCTAGATATAGATGCATGAGTCGTTTAGCGAGCAAATTATAAGCAGTGTCTTACTGCTCGAAAAAAGAAAGTGTAGTGGCGCAGTAAGCTGCCGTTCGCAGTTCTTGGCCCTTATGCACGAGTGGCAGTTCTTGTTCCTCGCGAATGTATTGTATGCCACAGCCAGGTAGCACAACATGCTAGATATGCTGCTTGATTGGTCTGCTATTGAGTATTGCCACACATCAACAGGGTAAGGGAAGATAGACGAATAGTATGGAAGACCAAGATTGTCGAAAGCACGGCACTCATCAAAACAGGTGTGTAGACACTATTGGCCCTGTTATGGCGCTTGTTATGTATCTCTATGTATACAAATAGGATTGGAATATTTCTCTACGATAGTACCCATGCCTTGTAATATGTCACTTAAATTTAGAAATCTCTAACCTACACATGTAAACATTTAGTGTCTGTTAGTAATTTTCAGTCCGAACCGCCATAATGTTTCTGCACGCTGCATTTTGTGTGTGTAAACAATGACTAAAAATCAATGGATGTCATTGCTCATCAGTCGCTACAAACCTATTTTGCTGTTACTTATACTCCTCAACATAATCTTTGGTCTTGCGTTATAATTTGCACGGCCTCATCGTGCTGGTGTTCACAACCTGTGCTGTTGTGTGACAATTCAGCTGATGGTGATTGGCGGGAGATGAACAGGAACCATCGTCGCAGCCTGCGAAACAGTCGGCTGTGAGCGTCCTGATTTAAGAGGTGGCTGAGCTTTTTTTGGTTGAAATTAATAATTAAAAGACTAGTAAGCTTGATTACTGAAGAATCTAGTTTCTGACTCTACCCGAATTGATAAACTTGGTTGACATTGTCGATAGTTCAATTTCGAACATCGCTCTGGACTCACTGGAAAATCAAGACGCTTTGGCCACCTTCACCATGAGGTACCTATGCGGCTTACCACATCACCAGGACCCTTGAAGCTCCCTCGACGCCTAGCAGCTTGGCGACACGTGATGAGACACTTCCAGATTCAGGTCATCCGCAATTTCAGGGGTTTCGCAATTCCGGGATACGAATTCTTGGTAAACCCAACAAAATTCCGAAGCTTCACCCTTTCCCGATTTCCTTCTGTTCACCTACATCTCATTGATAAACTGCGGGCCGCTCATTGACAAGGCGAACGACCATCCGGCCCCCACAACAATCAACAGGAGCTGAGCGACGGGGACGCCGGCAACCTGCAAGAGTCATGGACGCCCCGAACGCCGCGTTCAGGCGCAAACCCCTGCCGGGCCCTCCGCCGGGCCCGCCGCCGCCGCCGGATTTCGACCCCTTCCCCCAACGTCACCAGCCCCTTCGCGGCGCCCTGTCGACGCCAAATCTTCGGCAGTCCGCTACGCCCTCCATCTACGACCCTCCACCGGCGTATGAGGAGTTCCCGGGAATTGACTCCCGCGGTCGGCTTGCCGTCGAGCCGCCGAGTCCAGGTCCCGGGTTTGCAAGGGCGCCTTCGCCGGCGCTGTTGAGCACTGGTTCTTTCTTCCCCGGTCCTCCTACGGCTGCACGTCAGGAGTATTTGCCATATCGGCCGCAGCCTTCGCCATCGTCCAGTCGTGGAAAGCAACCTTCGCCGCCCTCCCCTGTATCATCAAGCCCTGGGGGGTACCTAGCTGAGTCTTGCAAAACTGCGCGCCCCGAGATACTACCGTACCGGCCACAACCTTCACCGGCCGTCGATCCTGGCAGGCAACTTTCACCTGCACCACCCAGCCAGGGAGGATACTTCCCTGGATCTCCCACAACCGCTTATCCCGAAAAGTCACCTTACCAGCTGCAGCCGTCTTCATCATTTGCGTCTGAGAAGCAATCCTCACCCGCACCGCCCAGTCCCGGACCATACTTCCCTGGTCCACCAACTGCACAAACATTCCCTGTAGCCGCTTACCGCCCCTCTCCCTCACCCACACCCTCCAGCACCGTGCCATTCTTCCCCGGCCCTCCGACGACGTCAGAAACCTTTCCCTTAGCAGGCCATCGCCCCCCTGTCTCACCCACTTACGCCCCCTCAGAGACTCCTACGACAGACTCACGGTCCAAAGAAAAATCCTTTTGGCAAGCGGCCCTCGACGAAACCAAATACTTCGCCGGGGGCTTAGTAAGCCACCCCTTTGAGTACACGAAGCACCATTCCATCCTCCGCCACTCGGGTGCACTTGTCTGGTACCGTGGTCCATCCACTTCCGTCACCGTCACAATCTTTTCTGATGCGCCACTGCCACCGACGCGAACAGTATGGCTTCAGCAGAAAGGCTTCTCAGGGAATATGGGTATGAATCTGAAGTCCCTCGTCGGCGCGAACACGTCCTGGCTCGACGTTACGCCCTCATCGCAGGCGACGCCCACTGATATCGCCGAGGGCGATGAAAGGGGCTGTCAGCGTGACATCAAGAAGTTTCTCAAGAAGGCGCCCAAGAATCTGTCAAAGCACATGGCAAGAGAGACGCACGTCGTCCGTATCCCAGCCGCCGCCGACGACGGGTACTTCCGTCTCGTTCTCTGCTCCGGTGGGGGCGGTGACGGTAGTAAGAGAAAGGTCCTCTGCCCGAGCCCCGTCTTCCGCGTCGCCAGCACTTCGACAGACGCGAGCGTCGTCCGCGGCGCCAGCCTGGCGACCATGCCTCTCGAGATCGGCATCAAGGCCGGCTCGGTTGTTGCGACGACGGTTGTGAATCGGTACATCGGACCCGCCGCCGCCGTCGTGCAGTCCCGGGCGAAAAACATCTCGAAAGCGAAGTTTGTCACGAAGCATGCCGCGAAGCATGCCACGCACATCGCGTATGCCAAGTCCGGGATCGAGAAATCAGGAATCAAGACGCATGTCACCGCGTACGAGGACCAGTACGCGACGACGAGAGGGGCAGGATACGATGCGTGGCAGTCAGGGGATGAGTTCCAGGAGGCGCCTCCGGAGGTTATCGGATCGGACGATGGTCCTTCTGAGCCGTTCCCGATCAGATTCGACGGCAAGGTCACTCGGGGTACTGGCAGAGGAGGCATGGAGCTTGGTGTCCCCACCGCCAACTTGATGGACGTGCCCGAGGACGTCAGGATGCGCATGCGAGGCGTTTACTTTGGCTGGGCAAGAGTCGTGCCGCGCAAGGGACTTGAAGCGATATCGACAGACTGGCACGAAAGCATCATCACCGTCGGCCCCGCGCCCTACGCCACCCCGCGCGTAGCAGCAAAGAACATCGCGACCGTCCACCTGATCCACGAGTTCGGCGGCGCCCTCTTCCTCGACTCCAAGCTCAAGGTCCTCGTGATGGGCCAGCTGCGGCCCTCCGCGCCTCCGGTGGCCGGGTCCGAAGCCGCGCTCGAGGCTTACGGAGCGGACGTGCTGCTGGCGGTGGCGAGCCTGAGCAGAGATAACTGGGGCCCCGTGGAGACGCGGGAGAGGATAAGAACGATGCGGAGCGAGATGAGTCTTGCGGACCGGTATATTGAGACGAGAGAGAGGGTGCAGAAGCAGGTCGATCGGGTGCCGTTGCATTTAGCGGGGGTCAGGACCGAGGGGGCTGCGTTGAGGGATCGGGCATTTGGAAACGGGGGTCTTTGGATCCCGAGGTGAGGCTGGGTATATCCAAAGATACTGGGTGGTGACATTTTGGGCGATGGTTTCAAGTTCAGCCAGCGAGCATTTGGCGATGTTATTTTTATCATATTGTAATCATAGGAATAGACTAGAAGGGCGTAGATGTCCAACATTCATATGTACCTCATGTGTCCTCTCAACTGCCGAGGTAGTGTAATTTGCGAGTTTCTTGGGGGTTAAGCTAGCATTTCAAGCCGGCGTACCGTGTTCGTGGCAAAATACTAGTCGAGGGTTATGCCTCCTCCCGTTCTTGTAACGTCGCCAGTGTAGCCACCGAACTTGACTTCTTACTCACTGCGCAGTTCTTGCTCTTCAGTTAGTGTCCAAGGATGTTGAAAAGCAAGAACATAGGGTCAAGACACCTAAACTACGGAAAATAAACCGCAGAAAGCTAAGTCCTTGTGGTGTGTCTCGTGGCTGCGCTGGGCAAAGGGAAGGGGTCAGGAAACCTTGCGGACCAGGTCGGATATTATACGTCCTGTCAACTCCATGTGGAGTGAGTCTTGGGCTGAAGTGGGCAGGGTTAAGGATACGAAAGACTGCTGCTGCCACTGTTCAACTCATCAAGTTGGTTACGATCAACCTCTCTTAAACTTGCTACATCCGGATGACGAAGCGAGTCGGGCATGCGGTGCCATCGGCCTCTTTGTGGTCCTTCAAGCAAAGCCCAGTAGGCTCGGTGGTGACGACGAAGGTACTTGAAAGAAAAGTGGCTGCAGGAAGTTTAGCATAGATGTGTGATCCACAGTCCCTGCCCTCTTTTGCGTCGCCCGGGCACCGCCGTCGTCCAAACACCAAAGTCGGCGCCTCCGCGCCCCTGCCCCGCCGTCCGTCCACCCGCCCCGCAGACCGGTCCTCGTCCCCGACCCGGCCATCCTCCGGCACTACCCCAACACGACCCGCAAGCCATCGTGAAAAATCTGTAAAAACTCTTCACTCATTCATCCAAGTCCTCCGCGCCCCATCCACGAAGCCTTCTTCAATGCTCATCCAAGTGCGTTTTCCAACAGCAGTTCCACATTTGGAACTCGCTCCAACCGGCCGGTTGGCCCAATGGCAAGGCGTCTGACTACGACTCGTGCTCTCACTTGAGATCATAGATCGTGTAATCAGGAGATTCTGGGTTCGACCCCCAGGCTGGTCAACTCTTTTGTTTGCGGTTGTGATTTTGAGTTTCTTTTCTCCACGTCTACGTCTTGTCACACGGTACATGGCCTGGTACCTCGTTGACACAGACACGAGCAATTGTCTCTGTGGCTCAGTTGGAAGAGCGTTGGTCTCATATCATCATTCGAATATGACTCTGTCTTTAGATAGGGACATCCAAAGGTCGCAAGTTCGAGCCTTGCCAGGGACATGATACCTTTTGCTGTCGCATGTTTCATTTTGCTTAGTCTCATCCATCCTGTCTGGACGATTCGGCGCAGCTATCCTATCCATCATGCACGGCAACAAAAGCGTTTTCGAGTTATGAAATAATCATAGACAATTAGTGCGGTATATATAGTACATAAAATCATGCGGTTCCTTGGGGTATCCAATTTCGTACGCCGTCTCCTCAGAGACATCCCAATCGCAACCTAAGCGCAACTCGACACACTTAGACATCAAGCATGAATAGCCTCCTGGACGTGGGGGTATACCCGGACCATCTCGTCATAGAGCTGGGGGTGATCGCGCATCAGCACCTGAGGGTCCCAAGCCGAAGCAACAAAGATCGTGTCGATACCGCTCGAGATGGGCGTCGTGAATACGTTGGCGATCTGGAGGCCGATGAGGAAGGAGAAGGCAACGACGACGGGCGTGTAGCTGCCACTCTGGTTGTAGGCAGGGTCGGTGAAGACCATGTAGAGGTAGGCAAGGAATGCACAGGCGTAGCCGATGAAGGTGGCACCGAAAGAGAGGACGGGGCCGATGAGACATTCCTAGACAATGGTCAGCTACTACTAGGTTTGTTGACGCAGAGAGAAAAGGGTGACTCACGTTGATAAGAGCGTCGATGCCGCGGTCCTTGATCATCTTCCAGGTGTCCTTCGCTGCGGGAATGTAGGCCTTGCCGTAAAGCGCAATGTGAGAAAAGGCGTATCTGTTGAGGAAGCTGACAGCCCAGTCTAGCAACGAGATCAGGCAGCCCAGGATGCAGAAGAGGACATAGCCGATAATGTTGCCATCCCCAGCAGCCTGCGACCTCGCGACAGAGCAAAGGTGGCGGAGGAAGTTGATGATGGCGACGATCAAGCTGCCGAAGCTGATGGAGCCGAAGCTGTAGGTCAAGGAACGCTTCAAGGCGCCACGGGTGGCGCCCTTGGGGAAGTTGTTGACGCAGAAGTACCAGGAGCCGTAGACGCCCGAAATGGTCACGTGGATGACGTTCTTGAGGACCTCGGAGATCCAGTACATGGCGAAGGTGATGAAGACGATCAAGCCAATGACCTTGCCCTGACTGCACTGGCCGTTTCTGCACTGTGGGTTGTTCTGCGACGGCTGGTACTTGGAGTAGGTCGCAACGAGGGTGACGGAGTACCAGGCCGCAAACGCAGCGCCGAGCATACCTCCCAGGAACGAGACCAGGTAGACGTGGCCGTACTGCTTGGAGACCTTGATGGAGGTCTTGAGCATGAGGGCGGAGAAGGGGATACGTGGGATCCAGCTAATGAAGGCGATGACGAGGAAGACGCCAAAGATCAGGAACACGATGCCGCCCGAGTAGTAGCGGCGCGAGAGCATGTAGATTGCGGTGACGAGGGCGAACACGATGTTGAGGATGCCGGTGACCCAGATAAAGGCCTTGGGGAAGAGGCGGGCCATCCACACGTAGGCATAGCTCAGGACAATCGCGACGGCGAGGACGAAGGCGAAGAGGACAATGGTGTTTGTGCTCAGGCCAAAGGTGTTGCCGCCGTCGTAGATGCCGCCACCATTGAGGTTCTTGGTCGCAGAGTAGCCCGATATCGTGAGGCCCGAGACGGCGGCGAAACCGAGGAAGACTGCGATGAACTGTAAGTTGGTGTTAGCATTGTCGTCACGGATGGTCGGTATCGTCGCAGCTGGGGGCAGCTTCGTACCAGAATGGCGGCCCAGAGATCATTCCACTTGGGCTTGTCGATCTTGAAAGCTTCCTCGAAGGTATACTTCTCCGGGTCGTGGCCCTGGGGCGGCGCATTGTATCCGTAGCCGTTGCTGCCATTGTCGTATCCCTGCGGCGGCGGAGGAGGGAAGCCCTGTGGGTAGTTTTGCTGGTAGCCGTTGTTGTCGTACTGTTGCGCGTACTTGGGGTCGTAGGGCGGCTGCTGAGGCTGGCCACCGTAGTAGCCAGCCGACTGGCCGTATGGCTGCGACATGCTTTGCGAGGGCCGGCGACGATGCTGGTCCCAACGGGCGATTGGCGACGGATGCGACGAGCAGGTGACGGGTGTCTGTCCGTTCCGTCGACGGTGAAGAATGCGACGGGGGCTCTGTTGGTGCAAGATGGGAAAACAACAAACAGCAGAGGGACCAGAAGGAATATAAGACGGGTCTCAGTCCGGCGTCAAGGTGCGTGGAATCTGGGGGAATGATGTGCGGCTCCCATGACGGAGCTTCAGGTCCCCTTCGTCGTCTGGGCCCGTCGGTCACGGCTCCAGCGCCTCCCCTCGGCCCTGAACTTGCACTCAAACTAGAGCGCAAGCTTAAAAGCCAATCCAGTTAGCGCATGGTAGCGTCATTGGGCAGAGGCAAACATGCATGCCCGCAAGGGTGGCCGCGGTGGAATCGGCATCGCCGCAGGGGGTCACAGCTCATCAGCTGCACAGGGGTTACGCGTCGAATCGCCGAGAGTCACGTGCCAAGGCTTGTCTGGGCCTCCCCGATCTTGGCGGCAACCCGCCCAAGCCTCGATCTTGGCTTATGTAATGGCTTTTGAAGGACTAGGGACCATGTGCCTGACACTGTTCTGTCTCTCGAATCTTCGCTCTCTGGTCCAGCTGGCAGTAGCCACGGGATGGACTGTTCTTTTGATTCAATCCTATTCGATTCTGTTCAGCTCGACAATCACCTCACCAGGCTACACAGACCGCCCACAGACCTACTACATAGTATGTATGACGACGTTGCGAGTGCGACGCAGCATGTCCACAGCAACCAGGCACAATGCACGCTACATCGGCAGCTCATGATTGAGACAAACCTCTCGGGTATCGGCATCTTCAACAGGCCCCGGTCACCTCAGCCAAGCGAGACATCGGCCCAGCCGCCCAGGCCCCCCAAGCCCCATCACCACCCTGTCGACCAACCAGCCCAATTGCCCACAACTGTGCCACTCCAGTTCCCACCCACTCTCTGGCCCTGCTCAAATTAGAGGCTGCGGGGCCACACAGTTCGCAGGGACTCCATCGAATAAACACACCAAGGTTAACTTCGTTGTTGGGATCCTCCAACTGTCACTTACGCATCATACTGCTTCCGGCCGGCTTCTCCCACAACGCCGTGTCCTACCGGCCGGTCTTCCGCAGTCGGGGATGGCTGGCTGCTTCAGCCCCTGAGAGATGATGATTCTGCGTGAGGGCCTCGGAAACACCACTACAGCCCACTCGATTTGCTCGATTTCTGATTCGTCGCATTAGGCTAAGATCGAGGCTCACGAAGCCGGAAATTAATCGAGAGAGTGGAGCCGCCGACTGTTGCAAAAGCTGAATAATCAGAACATGGCTATCCACTCAGCGTTACCCTGCCGCGTATGTCGTAGCCTCTACACGCGAACCACAACCAAGTTAACCAAGCAGACTTGCGACTCCATCTCAAGGCATGAAATAAGGAGTAACCCTTGGCAGACGCAACTTGGAGAAGTGCCTTTGAAAACATGGTAACCGCTAGATGAGCCAAATATACGTCTAGGATTTCGGCATGTAGCTTCGTACATAACGACATTCATTAACTAATTAGCTCGCAGCTGTCAACGTGACATATTTTGGCAGCGCTTTTTATCTCTAATTTCTCTTAATATCATGCCACCTCATTAGTATGACTCCATCAAAACATCGTCTCTGTCGGCCTTTTTTCCCGTTCGTTCCTGGACTGGTCCCAAGTCTTGGCCGCTATATCCCCGCTTGTCGCAAATACGGTCCAGGCTCCGGAGCCCGAGGTAACTGAACCTGGTGCCTCAGGTCCGGGTGGCCGGCCGGGAACACGGGGTAACTGGCATCGCGCTTGGGGAACACTTCCGAGTCGTCAGACTCGTCTTCCGTAAAGAAATCACCGACGTGGTCGTCTTCGTACGGAGCAGCATGTCTGTACCCGCCGTGCCGACTCGGAGGCCTGGCCGGGTTGCCTAACCCAGCCTCCTGCATCCCGTTGTGGTTTATACTCCCCTGATAGGCCATCGCACTACCGCTGAAAGCGGCTTCGCCGTTGCCTCCTTGGGCATAGAATCGGGGATCCTGCGCATTCGTGCCAGGAAGGTTTCTCGGGTTGCTTGGTTGAGTTTGGGGCGGGGGTGGTTGTTGCGGGAGACTGGCGTTCTGCATCCGAGGAGCAGTCGATTCTCCGGCGTCCTCTCGTCGAGGGCGGGACCTTCGCGATTTACGCGGCACTCCCAACCAGTCCCTCTCGTCAGTAGGTCGATGTGGTGCCGCATTCGGTCTTGCATAGCCGTTCTGGTCGAAGGCCACCCGGACTGACGAACGTCGGGAAACAAATGGATTGGCCGGGGCAGGGTCCATACCGCCGTTATATGTTTCATGATGCCAGCCCCGTGGGTCGACTTGTGGTGCAGCGCGAGGCTCGTAGCCGTCTGAAGCGGCTCTTCCGCTCATCGGCCGGGACGACGGCCGCCGATGGTGTCGTTGTACGATGTCGGATCCTCCAAGCATGTCGTAGACGATGGTCTCAAGTTCGCTCCGCAATTCGGGATCGATCCGTGATCCTCGTGCTGACCCTGGGCCCGCTTGCTCTCCATTGCCAAAGGCCGCTCCAGACGTGGCAGCCTGCGGCTGCAGTTTTCTCTTCCCTTCGATGAACTGGGCAATCTCCTGCATCAGAACGTCCTGCCCCTCCCCCTCTCTTTCCGCCCAGAAACCTCGATCGCCGTGGACGGACCGAGCCGTTGCCGTGTAGCCTCTCCTGCTGCTGTCCATCCGCGATGGCGCTCTGCCGGGCTCTGATTGTGACTCGGATTGGCTTAGCTGGATCTCCCTTCGTATGTCGTTGACTGCGTCGCGGATTTCCGTCCTGAAGCTTCTCTCAATGTCTTTCCGCAACTGGTCGACCTTGGTATTCATATCCAGCTTCTGCCTCTCCGCTTGGTCCTGCGCTTGACGTAGGTTCTTTTCTTGCCGATTTTCTATTTCGACGGCCCTGAGCCGCCGCTGGAGGTGTTCGAAG